TCGTTTCTATATAACTGTTAAAGATGCAGAATGCCCGTTCAAACTTTGGATTAGTGCAAGATACACCTATTTTCAGAGTACTAGTATACGCAACTAGATCCACATCTCTCCACGCTTCTTCAACATTGTTAAAATCTCGAGTCTTTTTTACTGGATCAGATTTACCATGATACTCCTTAATCCGTAATTCTGGAAATTCGGTCTTAAGAACACGAATAATTCCTTGTACATCTTTTCTGAGATGACAGATGAGTGATGCACTTGCCCGTTCCTCAAAAGGTAATAAAGACATTTGCTTGGCCTAATCCCAAAGTTCAGCTAATACTGTTTCTTTATTAGGAACCAAGCGGAATGTCTTACCTTTTTGAGGCTGGTAAGTATTATGAATAATAGATAATAGCCTATCCTTACGAAGGGCCTTAATCTATTCAATGTTGAGGTCAGTTAGGTCATTATCCATTACAATAATGCGCCTAGCCTCTTGGATTAATTTATATAATTTCTCTATTGATTGTCCGGCCAAATGACTCTGTGCCTAAGCAATTATAGACATTATTTCATCAAGCCATAAATCGTATTGGCTTGGAGAACATTTGCATTTTTTACTGCATTTACATTTATTAGTAATACGGTGTAAGCTCTCTATCTGACATATTACCCTCTTATGATCGGGTAAATTTATATTACCATCAATATCGCAATATGACTTAAGATTAAGTCTAGTAGTAACAGCATTCGAATAGGAGTGGTGCGTGGATAGTACTAGCAAATTCACATCATCAGATATAGTAAGATGCTCAAGAACATATGTTTTTCCAGTTTCCCAAGGCGAGCCTACATAAATATCGCCTTCATTGGGTAATGGTCTTACATATTGCTTCTCATACGTTTCTGTTGCTGTAAGGGGTTCATTATACTGGACCCAAGATGGGAATTTTACGAAGGCTTTAGGAAAACCCAGGCCTTTTATCTTATGAGAAGCTGGTAGTAAATTTTTATTTTCTTGCTGAATTTTTTCTGCAATAGATGGGTCATATTCAAAAATCTCCTCACGATCATCACTATTTTGCCAAAAACATTTTACGATGAATTCACTACTACTAGCGCATTCACAGCCAAACCACCGCTGATCCTTGTCATGTATACGTTTGCAGAGTGGACAGTCTATTGGAGCTTTCCGGTTAAAATATATGAAGTTTTCTGAATCCTTTTCTTCGATAGTCCAATCCCTAAGATAGTTAGAATACATCTGCAAAACAAGATCCGCATATTTTTGTAATATATTCGAACCCACAGATATTCTTAGCGGAGTATTATTTTTTTTTATGCTAAGCATTCTAGGTCTCACTTCAAGTCCTAAACTAGAAGGCGGTTGGACCCTAACATGATCGAGTTTATTCTACCCATTATCTAGTGAGAACTGAAGAATACGCTTTACACGACCTTTTTTTGCTGAACCAATTAGGCGAAGGTTAAAATTTTGACCAGGCAATCCTCTATCAATATACTTGCCGAATTTTTCACCGGTTATAGTATATACTAATTCAGTAAATGCTTTGAGTTCGTGATAATCAATAAGAAGAGCCGGTGCGTATAAAATATGGTAGCTACACTTGCTAGGGTCTGATGATGTAGCGATTACCAATCCTCAAAGAATATCTTTCCAGCTACAATCAAGAATTCGATACAAAGCTCTTATGAAAGATAAACAGATTCGAATGAATACTTCTTGTGCCTTAATTCCATTTGCTTCCATATCTTCTTGTAAAGCATCTATATTGATCACAGCTCTTAAAGGTTTTTGACCGTTAATACATTCATGAATCCCAGGCAAGCCATATACTTCAGAAATATCATCTGCAACAGAAAACTTCAGGGCACGATCACCGTCTTGGTCGATTTTGATAACCAATTTATCTTTCACTTCACCCTGGTCATAAGCATTATATAAACTAGACCCTTTTTCATTTGGAAAGAGAAATGAATAGATTGGGAGATATTCCAATGACCCCTTTTCATCTGACATATCTCTAGGTAGTGATAGGAAAATTTCTCGAATAGCATTTAGCAAGTCCTTGGAAGAAAAAGTATCATTAAATTTTTCCCGCCTTAAAGTATATGCCACATTAATTTTTTGCTCTTTTATATTTGGTGGTTGAACCAATGGAGTCTTGATAGTGCTGGTTGAAGAGCAGGGGCTTCTTCATTATCTGACTCATAATTAGACTCATAGTCATTATAATCATCTGACCCTAAATCGGATCTATTATCAGTACAACTGCTTGAGTCGCTTAAATATTCATTGGACTCAGCGTTATTATAATAAGCGAGAGTTCTGATGCGATTAGTTTGGTCGAAATTAGTTGGTGTATGCATGATGTTAGTTCGAAAAGTTATACTATCTCTATAAAATTCGGAAATGTTTAATTAATTTTTTTCGATGGATGCAAAAAGATACGTATAGCAGGATAGGTAGAGAAACGTGGATAAACAAATTGTTGATAGGTGAGATTTAGGGTAGTCTTCTGCGAAATCTATTATAAAATATTGGCAGAAGACTACCCTATCACTAGTATGTACTCGGGCATAGTGTTGGTAAAAAAGTGCTCAGACATACTCTTCCTGCCGATCAAACGAATATAGCTCCCTAACTAATAAGTGTCCGAAACAAAAAATACCAACACTGCTCGGGCATATATGACATCTAGGGTATGCAAGTGCGTAATCTATTATGAAGATATTAGCAGAAGAATACCCTAACATTAGTATGTACTCAGGTATGTCATCTAGGGTATTCTTCTGCGTAATCTTATATAAAATATTGGCAGAAGAATACCCTAACACTAGTATGTACTTGGGTATGGTATAAATGGGCCGGTCATGATAATACGTAATGCACTTCTAACTACGAACACAAAATTGGTATACATATACCGGCAACAACTAATATGCAATAGTTGGATTGCGAAATGGTGCACTTCTGGCAATCAAATGGGTCAGGCTGAGATTATACATATTGCACCTCCAATTCTCTACTAACTAACCGTTCACCAGACTGAAACTCGAGAGTATTAGGAAGAATTCGGAAATATACTTAAAGCTCAAGAATTTTGGCCAGACCTTTAGATACAAAAAAATATGTAACACAAATGCATATATATTGGATTCCAGGAATGTTCTGGGAATGTTCCCGTTACTAACCTGTAACTATGAAAGGGTGTTCGGTACCGTAACAGGATCACGTGGCTGGTGCAGTAAGGCGCAGTAAATTATAGTGATCTGATAAAATTCTGGCCGGTACTATTCCATATTTTTTACCAGAACTTTTGGATGTAATATCTCGGCATCCAGACACCATTGGAAAGCTCTTATCACGCTCTCTCAAATAATCCAAAGATCGCACGAATCCAATCACTGGAAACCAAGATATTCTGCCCAAAAGATCTGCTGAAATTAAGGCATAGTGCTGGCCAAATTTAGACGCAGATTTACATTGAATTACTGCGCCACCCGACATGATATTTTTTTACCATATTTTGACATCTAGAGAGGCAACCAAATAGGCGTAAGGGGTAAGCACTTCAATATAGAATCCAGCACCCGATCAGATGCAGGAGGTCAGCATCTCGACATAAAATCAGGTATCTAAACAACTACAGAAGGTCAACAACCCCATTATGGAATTCAGTATGTAAACAACTCAGAAATAAGAAAAAAAGCGTGGTATTTAGATTACATGTGTGTGGTAAATAGATTACATTGTGGTAATAAAAAGTATATTATCATAAAAACACGAATATTAAGAAAGACTTAAAGATATAGCTAGAATGTAAAAGTGATATAAGAAATAATAAAATGTTAGATTATATGTGGTATTTAGATCACAATATTCAGATTATATGTGGTAATTAGATCACATCATTTAGATTATATGTGGTATTCAGATTATATGCGATATTTAGATCATATGTGATATTCAGATTATATGTGATATTCAGATTGTATGTGATATTTAGATTATATGTGATACTATAATCTAGGGTAAGTGGGATACCACATGTGGTATAATTATATCACATGTGGTATCCCACTACTTCATAATATAATTATATTATGAAGTCACATGTGATTGATCTAATATATCTAAAAAGTTAGATAGAATAAATTTAAAAGTAAAATCTAATTTACTTATAAATGTTGATATTTAATATTTTATTGAGATATAAAATAATAAATTTTTTTATAATGAATTTGATATAACAAAATTTATAATATAATAAATTATTAATATAATTTAGATTTTAATATATAGAAAAATTTTGTTATATAAAATTATACTAGATAAATGCTTTATAATGTTATTTATATAAATAATTCTTTTTATAATAAATTTATTTATAATGAATTTTTTTAAATTAATTTAACTATAAAGAATAATTTAATATTTATTTTTTCTTAAATATAATAAATGTATTATATATTCTTTAATATTAAATAAATTAATAAAAATGGATTTTTATATTTTGTATTTATAACTTATTTTACTTTTTCATTACATAATTTTTTAAAGACTATAAATAAAGTCAACCTCAATTTTATCTGAAACCTTTAAAAAATATAAATCTCTTATTTTTGATTATGATAAAAGTAAAGATCATAAAGATTTTGAAAATTATATCAATATAGAACAATGGACTTGATTTTCTTTATGATATCTAAAAATAAATTGTTGAGAAAACATAATCTGCAAAGAAAAAAACTCTCCAACAAAACATACCTTCATAATTTTTTTGAACATCATTATCTATATGGATCCTTTCATTCACTGCATAGTAGATAAAAAGCAAGGACAAAACATAAAAAATGTGGTAAGAAACACAATTCCAATAGTATAATATAGTCGAATATATAGATAAATAAATAAACGAAATGGTATTTTTTTTATGCAATTTGTTCATTACCTTTTACTTTATTAAATTCACGTAATACATCTCCCCCCTTCAACAGCTCATCTTCCCATTTCTTTTTCGACTCTTCCAGCCCTTCCATTTCTTTTATCAATCTACGCCCATAACTCCTTCAATTCTTCTTCATTCCCCCATTCTTTTCTCTCCAACTTATCCTCCAACTCGTTCAACTTCTCCGTTGCCCCCTTCAACATCTCCATTGCCTTCTTAAACATCTTTTTTGCGTCATTATACTTTTGTTCGTATGTCGCCATTTTTAATTTTTTTAAAAAAAAAATTATTTTTTTTTTTACCAAAGACTCCAAGCATAAAGGAATTTATATCTGATTGGATCTCGGATACAAATATAATTGGCTGATGAAATAAATCACTTAATTACATAATTATGTGCCCTTAGATGATTGGTTGTTGATGCGAACAGCGGTCAGTCAAAACGATCCACCAAAAATCAGTGTTCACCCAGATCGGATTTTTATAATAGACAGACACGTCTACGCGAGGTTATAGCTATTAAATTTTTACTATGTCTAACCCGAAATCTACTTTTCGTCAAATTCCTCCTAGACCACAAGAACTTGTACAAGATTCTGGTGTTATAGATTCCTCCGCCAGAGATTCAAGAAATAACGGCGCTAACATCTGCAAAGTCTCTAAAAGGATAATGGTCAAAAAACAAAGGAAGAAACAGGATGGGATGATTCAAACATAGGATTAATGTTAAGTATAACGGTTCATATCGCGTAAAAGCGAATTATATCTATTATAGATAATATAATCGATCCGGTCAATCAAAAATTGTGCTCAATTGCTATACGTACTACGGTAAGATCTCTATATACCTTGACAATAGCCCTATTCAATTCTACGAAATAATTACAATTCGTTGGTAATTAATAAAAATAACCATGATAATTAGTATCAGAAAAAATTTTTAGATGCTACTTTGAATTAGCAATATATGTCGCGGATGAGAATCAGGTTATCTGAAAATAATCTTGCTGAAAATTTTTTCATTTATTTGTATAAGCAAAACTCCCTCCGATTGAAAATTTTTTCATTTATTGTATAAGTAAATATTAAACCATTAATAAGATGAATTGCGATTTTAAGGGCTTTGTAATGAAAAAATTTTAATAAAAATTTTGGTAATGTCATGCCGTAGATGCCTTAATCAGAAAAACAAGCTTAGTTATACATGGAAAATTTTTAAAGGAAAATTCAGGATTTTTTACCATTCGAGATTTTGGATTTTGAGATTTTGTCGGGATTTTGGATTTCGAGATTTTGGACAGCACCCTTATTTAGCGATATTGGGACAAGTTTGCTATTTAATAAATATAACTTTTTTTAGGCGAAATTTTCAGTTGCACTCATCGAGATATTTTTTTTCGTCATTAATTTATTATATTTACTGCTCCAGTTACTATAATTGATTTACCAAATATGTTCGGATATTTGCTTTTAGATTCTTATTATCTGCGACAATATTTGAAATATTTTCTATAAATTAAAAAAATTTTTTTTTGATGTTTTAGGATTTTATTGCCGCGCCAACTATTGGATTTTTTAGCTCATTAAGAGAAAGGCATATAAATGATGATACAGTATATGGTGAGAAGGTGTTCTTTAATTTAAATTTGTTTGCTAAGCGTTTTTAGCTATATTATTCATTTCTTTATTTTAGTATACTACGGTATTATGTATACAGCACGCGGACACCATTCCTCCGCTCTTAGTAATTAAACTTAAACTCGTTGCGAAATGATTAAATAGATGGCGTTTTAATAATTTCTTTAATCTATAAAGCTAAGGATGTTCGTATTATCGTGTACGGGGGGGGGGATTTACATACATCAAATAGTTATATATATACCATTGGTATCATTATTCTTATGAGGATTATGAATTGAGTTATCAATGGAAGAATTATGAAAGCTTTTGCCTTTTGCTTTTCCTTTGATCTGAATCATCATCAATTTAACGATCACGCTTATTTTGATTATTATATCTATAAATTAACGCTCGAAATTGATTTGATTACTTTTATTTGACTTATTCAATTTATAAGTTCGTATTTTCAGTAACTTTTGCATCATACAATAAAATTCATATATGAATATATTTTAAAATTAAATATGATCTCGAAATATATTGAATATTGAAATCTTTTTAACATTTTTTTTTTATTAAAAAGTACAATCTGATCATGTGATGAAGTCAGGTTTTTGGAGGCAGAAAGAAAAGGAAAAAAAAAAAAAAAACTATTATTTTTAATCGAAAAATCCTAATCGTTTGATTAAATATTTTACAGTCCATTCCGAACATTTTATTTCATATTAATGGAGCTTAGTAATTTTTACACAAATAATCCGTCATGAGCCGTCTTAATTTATTTATAACTCCAAGTCATAATGCTGATTTGATGAGTTAACGCCCTTTTTACCAAGAAATTTACTGCAAAACTTCAATTCCTTTATCATTAAAAACCGATTTTGTCAGGCTTTTTCTTTTGTATTTTTGTATTTAGTTCTTTCATTTATGTATTTATAAACAATTTCAAATGTAAGCGGAAGGTTTTTATTGAGTAAAATGAAGTAATGTTGACGCTAAATTTATTTAATAATATCAAATTAATCAGTGTTGCCTCAACCCACTTTCGCAATGTCAATATATTAAACTAAATAAATGCCAATCACTAATATTCTTAATTAATTAAGACCACGCAAATAATAAAAATTGAGTAATAAAATAATAAATCGGTAATTAACGAACTTTAGGTTTTTAAGGTATATATATATGAAAAATATAAGAAAGGCGGGTGATCGTGGAATGTTAAGTTATTTAAGGCTCATATTTATAAAAAAAAAATAATTATAAGACTGTGACAACCTGTCAAATGATCTATCGAAAACAATTTACATACGAAATTATGGGTGTTTCCGGACAAAATTATATTCAATGTAACAGTATTACGAAAAGCTATTTTTTCAGACCGATAACTCCATGATCCAATAACTAACTTTTTATTAACATAGCAAAGAAAAATTGTCTGATCTTACATAAATGCAACATTGGCTAATTTTGCCTGAGAGAAATAGGTAAAGCATATGGGCAGAATTCCAATAAACGTGACAATTTTTGAGGTAAAATTATATTGCTTTATTATGTATTCGCTATAATTACATTTTCAAAAAGAAAATCTTATCCCAACATGGAAATAGTTTACATACGTAATTTGGAATGCGCCTCTACAGAATAAAATCTACTTAGAAAAACTAGATTCTAATCGTACGATTTCATTTTAACAGCCCGTCCTACTATATCGAAAGCAACACAAATTGATAGATCCTCATTGTATGACGGATAACAAGTTCTTCTTACCATTAAACGATCTACTTTAAGCTCCCTTCAAAGTTCAATGTTAACTTGTTTATTTAGAGAAAAACCTGTTTGCCATTCGTTTCCAATCCTTCAAATAATAAATAATAAATAAATAAATTCATAAAAATTGCATTAATATGTACTATATAAATAACTGATATTAAGATAAGCAACATGGCCGCAATTCAATAAATTTTGCTATTGAGGTTATGGAGATGTGATATTAAAATGATTCATAGATGTTATCAATGGTTAATAAGAGAAAATATTGAAAAATCATTAATGTAGATTCTATTATATTACCTTATAATTTTCAAATTTCATCATGATAATTGGTAGGTGATCCGCGAAATATAACTGTTGTTGTTGGTTCTCCTTTATATGGTCTGAAGATTTGTGTGATGGTTTTAGCATATTCATAATTGTCACAAGCCACAATATAGACTCCACCATCACTTTTTTTAACAAATTTCTCCATTCCTTTCATATCGTTATTCATTTTACGAGAACATGACATACAATTTTCACAATTTCCAGGTCCACCTAACATATCTGCAATCCCATGACATTGTTCATCTCCTTTTCGAGCACATTTACAAGATGGTTTTATTTTTTCACCTTTTTTAACAAAATTTTTCCTTTCAATTTTAAAAAAACAATCTCTTGACGAAATTGTATGTTTATATTCCACATTATATTCTTTCTGGTAAAGACAATTATTTTTTGAAGGACATGTGTTTTCGTAATGATCACTCTTTTTTCCACAACAAATACATGTAAATTTTCTACTTTTAACTAAATTCTGTTTTTTCGAAGGACAATTATCTTTAGAATGACATGTTCTAATATTATGGCCATTTTTTTCACAACAACTGCACTTGCTTTTAACTAATGGAATACAAACAAAAATCACTAAAAACAAACAATAAGAAAAGAAAACTTGTGAAATAATCATTTTTTTTTTACGGTTACGATGCTAAAGAGAAAATCCAGATTTGTTTTTAATGGCTTTTACATATTAAAACGTTACACTGACTAGTTACAAGATGCTAATATGATAATCCAGATCTTGTGTTTAAAATAAATTTGCGCTGATTAAAGATCATGCTCTGGACTGGTTAGTACCTACACATAATAAAAGGCGCTGTGCTAATTCCTGATTGTTAATACCGATCTACCATCGTGATATCTAGGTCTATCCTAAGGTTAGAGGTTGGGTTCGATTCCTAAGTTTGTTTGATGGTATGGCGAGTTTGGTTCATATCCTAGAACCTGGACAAAGGCTTTGTATGAAACATTGGATGAGACGCATTGTTACCATAGGTAACTTCCTCATCATTAGCTTCGTCCTCAGAGCAGATTTCGTTTTAGAAAATTCTGAATCATAATACTCACTGAAGACACGAGTTCTTATATCCGTATTGTGTTTGAAAAACTTGGTTATTATAACTTTTTCATTTGAATCAATTGCAGTAAATTCAGGAAATAATAATTCGTAGATTGTATAATGAAGGATGAAATATATGAATGTATTTATCAAATAATACCACAGTTTAAAGATGGTCCCCATAATTATTTTCAAATTTTTAATTGAGTTGCAACTTAATTGCGTCAAAAGTTATAACTCAATTGCGTCATTTTTTTAATTGCGATGACCATCTTTACCACAGTTTCTCTTGTTTTGTTTCCCAACATCTTGGATCCCATCTATCAAAATTGTTTTCAAACTCCATTAACCATTTATGTCTTAAATTAAATCATATTCAAGATTGTCAATGATGTAAAAATTTTAATATGATATTTCAAAAATAGAAATGGTTTCAAATCAAAGATATTGGGCAAAGAAATAAAAAGATTTTATTATCAACCTGCTTATTTTTTTTATTATCATTTTCTTGCAATATTATACCATATTATACCAATACCAAGTATAACTCTTGCATTCTCCTATACTAGAAATATATGAATTCATTTTTAACAAGTGCTTTACTGATACTGTTAGGCTTGGATTTATTTTAGATTAATTAAAGTTTGAACAGTTATATTACTATCAATAAATGTATAATCTAACTATTAATCTTTTGCAAACTTCTCAAATTATTTTATTTTTCATATATTATTTATACTACAATATTCAAAAAAAAATTGATAACTTGCAGTTAAATATAATAATGCGATAGAAAAAAAGTATAAGTATGTTAATGTTATTAATCTCCAAAAAAGAATTTTGATTGATATTAAAATTAAAGTTTTTTATTCTGAAAATTCTCTATATATAGGCGGTATTATAGCAAAAGAGAGGATAAGCTAGCTGATCTAAATTTGAAAATTTATAATTATCATATGATCATCAATTTAACTTATTTGAGAATAACTTTTTCTGATCATAATATAATAGAAATGAGAAATTTATCTTCCTCAGTATTGTCAGAAAATTTTTCACCCTTATGTGACCTCAATAATTTATCACCCTGTGTCACACCTTTAAGTTTTCAATTTTTACTATATATTCCAAGGACTTAAAATTTTTTCAGTATTTAAAAACATATTTATCACACCATATTCATCACATAGCTAATTTTATAATTTTGTAATGCCGGCCAGGATGAAAAAATTTTCTGACAATACTAGAGTAGATTAAGAAATCCATTATGATCATATAATAATCACATAATAATATTTAATTGCAATTTTCTCAAAGCTACGAAAATATCCTATCCCCCTTTGCTATAATACTGCCTATATAAAGGCAACCTATATACACTCCCTGGCCAAAAGTTTAGGACCACCTAATAAATTTAAAAAATCTTAATTTTTTTATTAAATTACATTTCATTTTGCTATAAAAAAACAAATATAATAATTTTAATAAATAAATAACAACTTTCAATATTAATTATTTTTAATAAAATAAAATAAAAATTAATCAGCTTATAAAAAAAATTTTTTTTAGAATTTTATTATACAAAACTTTTTTTGTTAAAATTACTTATTACAAATAATATAACAAAAAAAAATTAGGTAAAATTTCACAAAATTAAGAAACTAAATATATATTAACTTTTTAATAAAAAACTAGTTTTTTTTTAATAAAAAAAAGAAAATTTTAATAAATAAATTTATAATTTACCATTAAAAATTCAATAAAATATTTCTTTAATATCTGGTTAGATAACTATGAGTTTTTATTACTACTTTTATTCGATTTTCTATACTGTAAACGAGCTTTTTATAAGCTTTACTTTATATTTGTAACTAATATTTCTGAAGAAACTTTTCTAATTCTCTTAAATTTTTTAAAAGAGTTTCTCTTAATCTGATATGACATTCAAGTTCATCCTAGAGGTGTTCTATCAAGTTAAAGTCTGGGCTTTGTTCAGGCTATAGTAATCAAATTATTTCTTGTTTTTCTATAAAGGTTCATATTCTTTCACTGATATATATCAGAGTATTGTTTTATCATAATTTTCTTTAAAATTTTATAAAAATGGTATCACATGATAGCCAAAAATCTTATTTATATATTGTTCACTATTGATCCATTCATCAATTTTTACTAAAGAGCCTAGCCTATACCAAAAAAAACACTATCATATTATAACACTACCACTACCATGTTTGACAATTAAAGTGAGACAATTGATATTATAATTTTTTTTTGGTAGACGATAAATTTTAATTTTTTCATCATTCTGAAATAAGATAAATCTTAACTCATCACTTTATACAATTTTTTCCAATTTTCAATTGTCTATGAATATCTTTCACAAGTCTATTGTAAGCAAATTTTTTGATTAAATTCAATAACTAATAATTTTCTGAAAGCTATATGACTATAATACTTTAGATCATATATTGTTCATCTTATAGTCCTTTCACTTACTTTATTTCCAGTGGATTCATTAAAATTTTAATGTATTTTTGCAAATGAATCATGATGATTTGTGTTAGAATTGTTTTAAGATGACATTTATTGCGTTCACTTAATATTTTTAAACATTCACTCTAAAGAGCGATAATAGTGATACCTATTTTATTGTATTTTGCTATAATATAGTATATAGTGATTTTGCCATAACCAGTTTTTTGTGAAATATTTCTTTTTGAGTTACTATCTTTATATAAAGTAATAACTTTTCTACATTCAAAATCAGACAGTTCTTTTTTTAATCATTTTCATGAAAAAAATGAAAGAGCAAAAAAAAAATTTATTTTATTGCAATTATCATTTATTGATTATCATATTACACAAAATTCTAATTTTATTTTAGTTAATTATATATTAACTAGGGTTAAATATCGATTATTTCGTAAATTTTAGAGTAGTCCTAAACTTATGACCAGGGAATATATTATTTCTTTCATTGAAAAAGAAGCTGCTAAAAAGAGAAATAATTTTATTTTTAATAAGAATAATTATAAATTTCAACTAACTCCTTCTTTTCCTGCTTCTCATCCTTCAGAAGAATTGAAGTTAACTAAGAAGCTGAGTCAGGTAGTGATATCTGCTTAAATTATTTTTATTATGACTAAAGTTTTATCAAATTTTGTGTTTGGCTAAACTTTTAACTAAAGTTTAACCTTTTAAATAAACTTTTAGTAAATAACTAAATAACTAAATCTAAATTGCTTTATAATATAAAAATTTTTAATTTTATTTATTTATCTTATAAAGATGAAGATAAGCAGAGAGATTCTTTTGGGTATATGAAATCTCATGATTAAAGATAAAGACATGTTACAATTTTAGTGTAATTGCAATTTTTTCCCCGTGATTTTTAGCCAAAAAAGTAGAAACATTTTCGCTTAATTATTTCACGTCAGTATTATGATTGAAAATAACGAGGGCGCAACTATGCTGAAGTTACTCGTGCTAGTCCACTCAATGGCGATGAGTGCTTCTCTTGGTATATATTTACCTTGGAGACGCCATACTTCACGCTGGTCTACTAATTTGGTGGTGAAGTTATGAGTTGCTTAGTACTAACAACTGTTCATGCTAGTCCACTCAATGGTGACGGCAGTTAATCTGCTAACCTTGCTGAAGTTACTCATGCTAGTCCACTCAATAGCAGTGAGTGCTTCCCTTGATATATATTTACTTTGGAAACGTCATACTTTACGCTAGTCCACTCATTTGGCGGTGAAGTTATGAGTCAGTTGATATTCAAGGTATCTCTTGATAGTCGCCAGCCTCTGTCTTATCAGCCAATATTAAGAAAAAAATTCTGGTTAAATTCAAAAGCTTTATCTGGGAAAAACTTTAGAAAAAAAAGGTCAGCTAAGTGATAATATACTATTTTATGCCATTATATCTGTCTCCAATATACACTTTATAAATGATTTCATATATACAATGAAGAAGGAAGCAAAATAATATGATGCTATTAGAGAGGGAGGGAGTATGCAGATTCTAGGCCATTTAATACGAGTTCCAGTATCAAATTATTTCTTTGCTCTCTCACATTTCTTGTAAATTTCTATGGCTAATGTGTTTCTATCACTATTATTACTAATTACAAGATTATCATCCCTACAATCTTTTTCTACACTAGATTTTCGAAATAAATGATCCCATCAATATATACATATATCGATATCACTTCCACCCACACGGACCATATAAAGTATTAAGTTCTGCGAAAGAACTTCAAGTAATTTTGAAACTATAGCATAAATCAGGGATTAGTAACTGAGATAAAAAAAAATAAGCAATGCAATATTACCGATTCACTCTTATCACTACTTATATTTATGAAATTTGTTACTTAATATGTTAAGATATTTCGAGCAAGTACGATTCTGCCAAACATGACAGATCTTGTATTCTTATGATATGTGATTAAATCAGATGAAATTTGCAAAGCCACAAAAATAACACTGCGCTGATAAGGATCACGATTTTCTCAGTGTGTTAAAAAAATCAAGAATGGTAATATATCCGCTTTGACTTTGTATATCTATAAAGCCAGAAAAAATGATTAGAATCATGATGATGTTCTTCTAGAATCAAGCTGAGAAATAAATCATCGTACCTTATTATTACTTTTTGAAGTAAACTCATTTGACTGATTGCTGGTATCGATAATGAGAATACAGTAATTTTAAATATTTCGCTTTATTATTTACTTATAATTTGCGTAAGGCAGATAAAAGGATTTAATAATCACCACACCTTTTTTTATATGATTTTCAGAGGTCCAAGAATCGAATTTGGATTAAATATTTAGGGAAATTATGATGGCATCACAAAAATCAGATCGACAGATTCGCTCAAAGACATAATAAAAAGTCTTGATCGCTACCATATGGGATCATACCCCTTGGATCAACAAAGGGGTCTTTTTTTATTATTATTACATGATTATCTGTGGGAAAGTTTAAGAATATTACGCATCTACAAGATGTTATGGTTACTTTTTTCTTACGTCTTACAGTAATCATTTCAGCAATAATTTTCCCAAATATTATACTGTGCATTTATTAAGATGCAAATACAATCTCTCAATCTCCACAACCATACTATGCAAAATATTATTATATAAATATATTATGCTTAATGCACCTTTACTTTATTGATTGTAAATAAAAAATATATATCAGCTCTTAGTCTGTAATACAGCTTCGCTTAATACAATATGATACATGATGATACATGATAAAGTCTTATTACATCTATTCTATTCACCTCCTGATACTCGCTATGTTCATTGTACTATCATCCTAACCTAATAGTCCATTTTATTTATTTGCATTCATGATTAATAACGAGATCCTTGGAATGGAAACTAGGTATTAGTCCTGATGACAATAAAAAGTGCTAAATCTCATATTGCACAGCTTTACCCCTTGATCGCTAATCTGATAGTTTTAACCAGCATTTTTCTGACATCATACTGCGTATTTCAGGTGATCGGTCTTATATGATGGAGTTTCTATACTACGAATGCGAATTTGAATTTATTGCTTGAAGTGAAGTAAGTAAGTCAATATTCTGTTTCATTTTTATACCATTCGTTATGTAATCTCATGTTTTTCGTCACAAATAGGACATGGTGAGCTTCACGGTTGAGGTGATGTAAAATTATAATTATCAATCCTTCTAAAACTATTTTGGAATTTCAAGCATGTGAAATGCTTTAATATGGATTTGATAATTAATTCTGGATCAGATTTGGCTTCAAAGATGATAGGCCTCTTTTCTTCATATTGCTCAGAAAAAGATAAATAGGATACTTTGTTTTTTGGCTTCGAATTTATAAGAAGACGGGCTTCTGATAGTTTCTATGGCTCGCATCCAGTTTCTTTCTTATATGTTTTATATAAATTGGAGCGAATTTTATCTGTCAAAACACTTGATAACCCAGTTAATTTGGCATGCCAATCCAGGTATTTGGGAGTTAATATTTTATCGATCTTGGTCATGTTGCCTTTTACTATAATTGCAAATTAATCTAATTAGATAATAGTTGACGTGTGTAAAAAAATGTCATATAATAAATAATAAAGCGTCAGTTAGCAAATGTAGTCACAAAGTGACCTGACTATGCAACTATTTCAAGTTCACGCTGTTCACATTTAATAAAATAGGATCTGATTTTATATCTACCTTCTATGCTTTCTTCATCACCATAATCTAACTTGCATAATGGACATGAAGTTTCATTAGTAATTCCATAATAATCAACATTTTCACTACTAAATTCTCTATATAAATTAGGATATTGATCTAATGCTTTGTTGCAAAAATAGGCGTGATCATAAGTTGGCTAAGGTGCAGTTGTCACTTGCATCTCTGATGCATCAGTTTTATTAGTTTTCAAAGTCATGTGTCCATTCCAATTTAGAACGTAGTCATCATAATCTATATTATCCATATTGGTAACTTTTAGAAGAAAATCATTTATAATGTCCTGGATCTAATTATCAGATAAATTTGAGATGGCACTTGCGTTACAGCTAATTATTTGGATTCTATTTATTCCTATCCTATCAAACAATATATAGATTTTTTTAGCTCTGAAAGTTATTTTACGCAAGTTTACATCAGTAATGTCAGGAAGAAGGGTTTGATTTCACTATACACCAATGTTCTTGCTAATTTGTCATCAATACCATTTTTAGACTTAACATCCCTAACTCAATCCTCATACACCTTATAGTAATAATACCAGTATAAGATCTCTTTTTGTCTGGCCTTCATTGCTATATTAAATAGATCAACTATGACTTGTAATGTAATTTTATTAGATCCTATCAGAATTGCTTCTAAAAAGAATTTGAGAATCTGTATATTAAATATTTTATTTTTACTTTGTGAAGTGGATCTTTTATCTTTTATATAAGCAGATAACTCATCTTTCAAGTCTTGTTCTACTTTCAGATTATAGGAAATTTTTTCCACCTTCTCATCACATTTGAAACTAGAAGAAGCATTATATAATTTAGATGATAGACTGTTATTAGAATTTTCTGAAACCTAAGTATTCTTCTTATTTTGCAAAATCTCTGATTAAGAAAAAGAAGAACAACCCTGTTCATTTTTTTCATTTATGAAAATGGCAGAATCTAAAGAAGTCATGAGTATTTTTAAATCTGGTTCTCTCTGGAAAGTTATCTCTGGTGACGAATTATCTTGAAGTTTTTTCTTCTACTTTCTTTACCTAATTTCATTGCCAACCTTCTTCTTATACATCACATTTAAGAATTCATCAGTCTCCCTATCCTCTTCACAAAATGGAGGGCTGGTAAACACACTTACCTCTGGTATCATATTATTTATTTTGCTATCAGGCTTATACTGCTCAAGTTGAGTTTGCTTTTGGCAAATATCGTGTACATCAGTTATCTCTGGTAACACCTCTGACATCAGTGTTTGCTTAAGCAAACAATCATCTATTATCTTATCTTTTATTGACTTAATATTAACATTATTTTGCTGGTCTATTATAAATTCGAATACATCAACAGTTAGTATGGATACCTTTGGTAACCCTTCTGATATCATTTCATTATCATTCTATAGCTGTCTATCTACTATCAAGGAAGCCTGTTCTAATGACGCAAATCTGGCCTTAAGCTCTGTATTTTTTTGCTCTAGTTCTTTAACCTTAACATTGCGCCTAGCATTCTCCTCAATAATCTGACTCAGCTTTACAATCTCAGCCTCGAGCTTATAATTCTTGACCACAAGTCTGGTATTTTCTTGCCTAAGTAAGTTAATCTTAGATTCCATCTTTGATAACACTTTTATACAAGCATTCAAAATAAAAAAAGTCATGTGTCCGTTCTAATTTGAAATGCAGATCACTTTTGCTAAGAAAATATTTATTATTACATGTGAAAAATAAATACATAATTTGAGACGTAGCCTGTGATACATAAATTTTCTATGCTAAAACCTATTTATCTGACTTTCCAGTAAGATTACTCAATGATCTATATTTTTTATTACCTTTTCTTCACTTTAAGAATCAGAATCTGGCTTCTAAACCTCCATCAATAACTATGTAATATGCCTGAAAATTTTTCTAACCATATTTTTCATATTCTCATCCTTATATACAATGACCACTAGTTCTGATAGTTTGAATCTTAGCCTATTTTGATCATCGAGCGAGCATTTCATAAAATACCATTCTTTTGCATCTATGATGATTCCAAAAGTCTTACCTGTAAACACACTTTCTTCTTCCATCTTACTTGCCTTATGTTTATAGTTTGTTAAAGCAGATTTGAGCTGAACAGTATTCAAAGCAATACTCTTGTAAAAATCTTCATTCTTTACTTCTGTCATACCAGCAGTTCTTGCTGTTCAGAGGAGGTCTATTACGAAATCGACTGGTCTGTGTTCATGAGGCCCTGTGATAATTTTTTCTGGTTGAAGTTCAAACTTTCTTTTATATAGATTTACCCAGTAACAAGATACGAGCAAACATACTGTGATTTCGATACTTCATTCTTACTGATTAGAATGGATTTGAGTTAGACCTCTAGTTCAGTTATAAGGTTTTTAAGTAATACCTAAGAAGGTTCGTCTTTTAGATCTTTGTACCTGCAAGTGAAAAGTGAAAATACTGATAATGATAGGTCATCTGATTCTTCCAGTCCGTAAAGCTAATACATTTTTGAAAATGTCTAATCTGAGAAAGCTTTTGAGGGGTCTTTATGGATATGACAAGCTTGAAATTATTCTTTGATACGAACTGCCAGAGCATTTTTGATTATTCTGAGGTGAGTATCTCTTTACTTTGTACATAAAGTTTAGCACCGCTCTGTCATTTTCAAGTGCTAACAACCTAAGGTTCATTTTATATATGGAATTTTTGAGACCTTTAAGAGCCACTTCTTCTATATTTATGATCCACTTGAATCTATTCGTTTATTTTAGACTAATGATAACATCGAACTCTATGAAAGCAATGATTAGCCTAGGTCTAATAAAGTTTTCAACTCTTTTCTCTACTATACGTACTATATTCAGACTTGTTGAGTAATATCTGCAATAATGCAAGTTATTTCCTTAATTCTAATACCTTGCTCGAAGCAGTAGTGACCTCTGGCAGAGAGACTAAGACATAAATATGTTCTTTAAGAGATGAGTTTGAAAAGTATTTTGAAATCTTTTTTGTTGCAAGGAGCTCGTTCTCGTTATTGAGTGTAAGATTGCTTAAGAGATCATCCTGATTATCAGGAATTTCCTTTTTTCATAGTTTGAGCTTGTCTGCAGGAAAATTATCAAACTCTGGTGTCTTTTCTGCTTTAATAACTTTCTTGAGATCACCAACAAACTATCCCTTATCAATATGAACAGAAAAAGTGTTCACAGTTGTATTTCCTTTGACAAGACAGAATAAAGTGATAGATATATTTTTAGGCTTATATAGTATTTTTTGTGAAATTTTATTGGTACAAACTGGCGTAAGTGAGGACAATAATAAAAAAGATTTTATTTGCGAAAAAATATACTGGCAGATTATATATGAGAAGTTATTCTGTTTCACAAGAGACCAATTAGTCACATTGCATCATAAGTGCAATGATTGCCTAATCACTGCACCTCCCTAACTGTGAAGACTCTTCTTACTTATCACCTGATATAGTGCTACGCTTTTATATAGGCTAGATAAAAATGTTAGATTTATAGTCTTAAATCGCATCATTACACATGACCCATTTTTCATGTACAGTATAATAATAATACTTTATTTATAAAATAAAAAATGTTGCCAGAACTGGCTTACGATACATAAAAATTGGTCATTAAAGTGCTTCACATGACTATATCGCTATTACATTTTACTATTGGGATGTTTTAATATCTAAATAAATTATAATATGAATATCTTTTTCAGACGGTTGCTTGGGAAAATGATCAAGAATATTAAGCATTGGAATCAGCATCTGTCCTTCATCCTGTCTCCCACTATTTACGCTTATCATCACTCCTTCAGCATTAACTGATGCTAATACTTTATCTGAATTTAAGGGAAATGCATAGACTACAAATTCAGTAATTGGAATATTATCAAATCGGAAAGTATGTTTTTTTTTAATTTGTGATCTGAGAGAATGGATGGATTCATTATTGTTAATTTAATTGTAACGACATGTTGTTGTATAATTCTTCTAACTGAATCACTAGAAACAATAAGACAATTAAGCCTGATTTCTGGCATTTTGCTTTTTCTAAATATTAATGTTTATAGTGAATAAAGTTTCGTTTATACAGATGCAATAATCCTTTAAAACATTTTTTTCTAAAAATATACAATAAAATATATTACCTTAATTTTTCGTGGGAAGGTTGGCTGAACTTTCACATATTTCTACATGCTTTATATCTTGCTAGAAAAAAGAGCACCAAGCTAAAGTTAAGGAGGTATGAGGCATAATTAGCATTGTCATATGATACCAAGAGTTCTATGATCGAAGACGCTAAAGCAAAAGCACATGTAAATAGAATCCTTATACTTTTTCACATGTAGATCTATTCACTTCAGCTTCTGGGGACACTACTAGTACTTGACTTATGTATCGCCTATTTTTCTAGTTAGAAATCAATGCAAATACCTGTTTTTTGCTAAATTGATACCCTTTTTGAAGACGATTACGAACCTGATGCCTTTTCTCTCTATCATCTCTCAAGAGATTACGCATTTCTAGTGCATACTAACTGAGCTCTTCGATACTCATCTTATTAGTGAGTTAGTAGTCTGTAATGAACTTGGTTGTAATTGCAGACATAGTGTGGTATATAGAATATATATAGTAGTTAGATTAATTTATAGTATTCAGATTATATTAAGTGAGATAAAGTTTAATTTAAAAAAATTATTCTATAATTTCACTACCTCATAGTCGATAAAAACTATCAGAGGGATAGAGAAAGGGAAAATATATATAACTCTCGCTCTGGCTAGGTTTTACATTGATTTAAAATTTACGGGTAGATAGGATATGCAAAAAAATATAGTCATAAAATTATAATAATTTAGAATTTTATATCGCCTATGTATAAAAAACAAAAAGACCCTCTTACTCAAACATCTTTCTTATACATAGCGCCTTCAGCTAAACTGGTTTCTTATTCACTCTTTACCAAAGCATACCATTTTCCTGAAGTATACTTATTGTTTTTTTCCATTTCTCATCGGTATCAAGCTAGAAGGATGTGGCTTCCTTATTCTTGAGAGAACAATAGATTATTTCTTCTTTTATTAATTTTTCTTATACTGTCATATCTATATGTTCTTTAGGATCATCCTCTAGTTCTATAGCCTAAGCACACATTCGTGAATCAGTTTCTATTCTATCACAGAATGTGGTGAAATTGAGCCTATCTTTTTCAATAATGGTCACAAAGACATCTGGATTCTTACTGAATTTAACTCCTTTTTTCTGAGACGCTCTTCGTGCTATTGTCTAGCTAGGAGTATAACAGACAATACTTGATTGATAGGCTTAGAAGAATCATGCTTGACGCTTGTTTCTTTTGGAAGTATATCCACCACTTTACTGATAGGCTCAATAGATTCGAAAAGCTTGCTAGTCTCAAGTTCATTGATTACTGGCTCAGATAGTTCAGAAGTCTTAGTAGTTTCAGATGTCTTAGACATTGAGGCGACTGGAGTTTCAGTTTTTTTTACCATATAATTGAAAAGAGTTTGGTTGAATCATCCTGTTCATCTGCCTTCTTATCTTTACTAGTACTAGGTGGAGGTATATTTTTTTCTGGATGATGCAGGATTATTTTTGGAAGAATGATTTCTGATATATTGAATATGGATATGTCTGTAATCTCATTTTTAGGTAAGTCAGGCTAAAGGAGGTTCGCTTTAGCAAACTTAGATATATTGGAAAATTCTTCAATATTACCTAGACCAGATTTACGAAGCTTGGTTATGATCTTGAAGCAGTCGAGAATGTATTACCATTCCCTTTTTCCACCATTTGTTCGTGCTTATTTACTCTCAATACCAATATCTGAGAATTTCTTCCCAGCAATATTATTAGAAAATAGTTTTTCGCTATCTTCTCCATACCATTCAAGATACTTCTAATATAATGCTTTTTTACTTAACTCAACTACACTATCCTCAGCTCGAGATGTAATATAGTCAATTATAAATCGAATGGGATTAGGTAGCTAGTCTCGCATTATATCTGATTTTATTTTAGTTACAGGAATTTCTTGTGGTTTAAAATCTGAGAGATTAAGACTAAGAAGATATCTCATAATTACTTCTGGTACATCAGAGTGGTCAAAAACTTTTCTTAGTCACTTAAAATATGCTGTATTTCCTCTAATCGTGAAAAGATATCAAAACAGATTACATGAGAATCCCTATATCTATTTTGAGTGGAGCATCCTGATTGCTTGTAACCATATACCCAGTAAAATCTTTTAGTCATTTAGATTCAAGACCTTTGTGCTCTATAGTTACCATTCTTTCTGTTATAAGAGATTTTGAGATATTCATTAAATCTATGCCAATCCCTGCTAGATATTCTAGTCTCATTCATAACAATAAGCTTTCGAGCTTAGATAGTACTATTAAATTGCCCAAAAATTTTTTCCAAATCTGACATAGTATAATAGAGATGTTTCCCTAGAACTTTGTCATTAATAAAGTCGATAATAATATTTTTTTCACACTGCTATAGTTTAGACTTTAAGACTAAGATTAACTGAGGCTTTTTTTCTGACTTCTACACTAAATACGCTTACCATTTCTAAAGATATTCGTGAAGCTTCTCATTTCTATTACTAATTATATTCTTCATATGCTAAAGAATCAGATCCATAATTTCTTTATTAATTTCTGATGCTGGCTTAGCCAAAAATCCTAAGAAAAGGTTGAAGAAATCTGTAACTAGTTGGGGGCATTTGGTGGATATGAAAGGAAATTATAATTTTTATAAAGTATTAGACCTTTAGTATCTGCTTGGTCTATCAATGATTTTAACTTTATCGATTCCCCACCATATTTGATTATATTAATCTTGTAATCGATAAGCTTTAGTTTAGATCTTATATCAAAGAAAAGACCATTTTCTACATCTTTACGCTTAAGAAACTATAATTTTGAAGTTCTTTGTATGCAGGCAACTGTTGCTTAAATAGCTTCATAAACTTCAGTATAGGAGAATTTTCTACCTGAAGTACACATGCGTAATAAGTCCTAAAATACAAATTGATCTTTTGGATTTGTAATTCTGGATTGTTTTAATTTTACTGAAGTTAAAAGGTTCTTTTCTCGACTCAAAGCTGTCTCACTAAGAGTAAGCTTTATTGAAGGTTTTCTTTTATCTAGTAGCTTTTTCTGGTCTGCACGATAGCAGTGAAAACTATAAAACTTTTTATATTGAATAATATATTCATTTTCACTTGTATGTTTTCAGTTACATAATGAATAATATGATTAGCTCATATGTTTGAGAGGAAAGACATTAGGAGATAATTCCAATAGATATGAAAGATTAAATTTCTTAATACTAATCTTCTCAAGCAATTCTTTTACTAATTTGAACTCAGCCTGATCAGTTTCACTATTTGTATCATCACATATTTTGACTTATAGTTTTGGAATATCTAAAAGAGAACTTTTAACGACTTCTGATTCATCATTAGGTGAGCGAATCATAAAATTGAAAATACTTCCATCTTTTGGATGAACAGCTTTTTTTATACAAACGTGTTCCTCTGTTTTTTTAT